AAAAAATGTAATATGCAACCATTAAATGTTCATTATAAATCTGATACAAATTAAAATACTCAGAGTATGTTAGAGTGTTTAATCTATTCAGTATGAATGCAGGACAGGAGGAAGTATGCATACCGTACAATAATTTCTTTAAATGTGTTGATCTGGACACATGCTGATCATAAAGGACTTACTTCAACCACATACGAATCTGTAATCTATTATCTGTCACTTGTGCAGTGGTAAACAATGTCCTCTCAGTACAGCTACATCTTTAAATAAACACTGAGGAAGAAAAACAATCCCAGAAGTCTGCAAAGAAGATCTGCATGAGATTGTGAATGTTTAAGTCTAAGAAATGTGTCTTGTTTTCACAGATAAATAACAAATTGTCCACAATTAGGTGTATGTATCTAGGGACCAATGTGTCACCCATCCCTACATTTTCATAATGAATTAAATATTTTCGTATAAATGAGAGAGGCCAAAGAGTTCTCCTACAGTTCAGAAATATGTTACTTGTTTGACCCCTTCCTGAGGCATCAGTGGATGGGGAGACAGGATAGATCCAGGTACCGCAAACTGACCACATACCTGTTGAGGCACTCTCAGTATTCAACATCATCCCTTGAACTCATAGGCTGAATTTAAGGGAAGGGTGTGGCTGAGCATCTCTCTCTGCAAAGGCTAAATGCATTGGCAAAGAAAAGCAAGGTATGGGGAGAATATCAAGGCAAGCCTGGAACCAATGTAAGTCCATCTATCTATTGGCAAAACTCTTGGAAGCCTTTCCCAGCCAATTATCAACGTACCTTTATTTACCCCTCACTCTTCAGCTTTCCACCCCACCACCACCACTTGCAGCCGCTACCATGCTCTGAAGCCCTGACAGCTACGTCACATTGGCTGTCATACAGGGGCCATCTCAGCAGGATATAAGGACACAGAGGCCAACATTTTCTCCAGGGGAACTGATCTCTGCCATCTGGAAAGCAGTGGGGGGTGTAAAGTGGGGGGGGTTGGAAAGCTGAAGAGTGAGGGGGAAATAAAGGTACGTTGATAATTGGCTGGGAAAGAGATAGGGTTGTCAATTCCAGGTGGGAAATTCCTGGAGATTTGAGGGATGGAGCCTGGAGACTGTGAGGTTTCAGGAGGGGTGGAACCTCAGACAAGTACAATGCCATAGACTCCACCCTCCAAACCAGCCAGTCCCTCCTGAGGAACCATTGTTGCCAATATCCAGGTGGGAGCTGGAGATCATTCAGACTTACAACTGCTCTCCAGGAGGGAGGGGGGAGGAGATGGAAAGCTGAAGTCAGAGGGGCAGATCAAGGTAGGTTGATGGTTGGCTTGGAAGGAGATAGGGTTGCCAGCTCCAGGTTGGGAAATTCCTGGAGATTTGAGGGGTAGCAGAGATCAGTTCCTCTGGAGAAAATGGTGGACTCTGTGTCATTATCCCCTGCTGAGGTTGCCACAGCAAATTGGCGCTGAGTGCCAAAGGCAACAATATTCATAAATTTGGCTAAAATGCAGTTGGTCTTACTGTGCTAAGTATCTACTTAAGTTAGTTACAAAAAAATAATAATAATACAGCCGGGGGGGGGGATTCAGCATCCCTTGGCAGTTAACTGAGCTGAACTCTTGGGAGTAAGTTGCCAAGAACAGAATTATAAATTAAGCAACATCTCTGTCACACAGCCTTTATTATTATTAATATTATTTGACAGGCATTTTTTGCCATGAAGTCACAGCTGAATTATGGTGACCCCATAGGGTTTTCAATGCAAGAGAAATTCAGAGGTGATTTGCTATTTCTTGCCTCCATGTCGTCATCCTGGTATTCCTTGGAGGTCTCTCATCCAAATATCAGCCAGACCTGACCCTGCTTAGCTTCCAAGATCTGATTAGATCAGTCTGGCAGGGGCTATCCAGGGCTGAGAGGAATTAGTGTATATTTGTATATACAGTATATTGTATATATGCAGTGCACATTGTAGCAAGCCCCACAGCAGCCTCTAAGGAATAGCACGGAAAAGGGATGCATGAACTTAAATAGTTGAAGAAGAAACAGAATCTGACTTTCTCTAATTTGTTTTGGGTTATAATTAATATTATTTCTCTGTAGTGTCACATCCATATGAAGAACTAATACTTGACAACAGAATTTCTTCAAAAATGGAGACAGATAGGAAACCTGATGAAAAGGACTGGAAAACAAAAGGGACTACAAGGTATTCAATAACGTTTTGTGTCGGAAAATCAGTTGGTATTTAATGACTGCAGCACAACGCCAAAGATATTCCTCCCAGTCTTCTTTAAACTGTTACTGTACTATTGGGGAACCCCCAATCATTTTTTTATAAAGTAAAGCTACGGCATAGTTTCTCACTAATTGCTCCTCATTCATGGATACAGCCCTCCTTCATGCACTTATGGATCCGTGTCCATTTTAGAACTTCAGCTTATGAATACAAATGCCAAGCTTGGCAGTTTGTCTCCCAGAAACAGAAAGAGGCAAAGGGCATTCACACTTTTATTCAGAAGAAAATGGGCAGCTTGCAAGGGAAGTGGAGAGACAGAACATGTTCAAAACCTGGATTTATAGCAGAGAATAGTCGAAGGGAGTGGTTGTTGCTGTCTAAGGAGAAAAAAGAGAGAATTCAAAACATGCTTTCCCCCATTTGATTAGAAGGGGTGTCTGGGGTTACATTGTCTGAGATTCTTTGAGAGATGGCCTATGGGGAAGACAGAGTCCACTCTTGGCTCCCAAGGGGGCCTGAACCTGAATTGCTGGGGAAAAGAGCCCTTTTAGTAACAATGGCCCTATGGACAATCAGAAATGGAATTTAGAGCTGGGGAAAATCCAGTTTGGGGTAGATCTCCCAGGGAGGCTGTGGAGAGGCTGTCTGGGTATGCAGAATCAGATTGAGTTAAAGTTAAAAAAGAACAAAAACCCCAAAGGATTAGGGCGGCTGGTGCTGACATGATTAAAGTCCTGCTTCTCTGGGTGACTCAGGATACCTGCTTTCATTGTTGTGAAACTGATCAGTTGAAACCTCTGAGAGGATGCAGCATTTATACATTATCAGCAAGGAAGAGTTAAGGTAATTCCCAGGCATCCAAGACAGATCCTTGACAGAAGCTGCAAGACTTTCCAGGATGTGTTTGCTACATTATTTTCTTGTACAATATGGCTAATTTAATTCCTTACAGATATAGAATGTATTTCACAATGGTGGACCCTAGTGACCAGTTTCCCTTGTCCAGTCTGTCAGGGTTACAGGAGAGCCAGTTTGGTGTAGTGGTTAGGAACACGGACTCTAATCTCGGAAAACTGGGTTTGATTCCCCACTCCTCCACGTGCAGCTGCCGGTGTTACCTTGGGTCAGTCATAAGTTCTTTCAGAGCTGTTCTCTCAAGGGCACTTCTCGAAAGAGCTCTCTGAGACCCACCTACCTTGCAGGGTGTTTGTTGTGGGGAGGGGAAGGCAAAGGGATTGTAATTTGCTCTGAGACTCCTTCAGGTAGTGAAATTGAGGTATAAATCCAATCTTTTCTTCTTCTTCCATGGGTGGGGGCCTCCCAAACAACTACACCTATTGGGACAGAGTTGTCTTTGCAACAATAGCCACTACTCGTGCAGCTAAAGTGTGGATAAGGGATCTGGAAACTGTCCACTGCTCCTCCCTCAATTTCCATTCTATAATTTACAAAATCGATGTGTACATAAGTTCAATAAATTCAAAGTCCCTCTGTGACATTCAGTACAGTTCCAGATCAAGCATCCAGAGTCTATGTGCATGGAAGCTGTACAAGCTTTTGGTGTTCAGTCGCACAGTTGAGTCCGACTCTTTGCGACCCCATTGACCACATCACACCAGGCCCTCCTGTCTTCCATTGTGCTACGGAGTTTGCTTAATTTCATGTTTGTTGCATCGACTACACTGTCTAACCATCTCATCCTTTGCCATCCACTTCTTCTTTTACCTTCAATCTTTCCCAGCATCAGGGTCTTCCCCAGTGAGTGCTCCCTTCTCATTTGATGGCCAAAAC